CTGTTAATTAGGTCCTACGCAAGCCCCTTTGTTTATAATAATTGATTAGGTTCTCCCAGCATCACTAATACATGGGTAGATTGTTGTAATAGCTTTTTTCCACCTGGATTCTTTCAGTTGCAAATAATGGGAAACTTGATTCGAACTGGCTTAAACATAATTAAATTTATTATCACACATAAAAAAGAGGTGCATAGAAAGAACAAGTTCTGAAGTTGGTTGATTGAGCCACAAGTCAGCATTGTTATCAAGAACCCTGGTTCTTTCATCTTTTTGCAGTGCCACTCTCAGTATTGGCTTTATAGGTTCTCACTGTCTTTCCTCCTCCACTCAGCCAATTCTACAATTTAGTTCTATCAGCCAACAGAAGCAGGCTGTCTACATTAAGCAGAAAAGTAATATATAGAAAAGTTATATATGGAAACAATGGAAAGGATATTTGGTACCTCACAGGATTACCAAGACAGTTGGAAATCCAGGCTCAGAGGAAAGGCATCTAGAGCCATATCTAGAATTATGACTGATAAGAGCAGCATCTCCACCCTTGTTGAATATTAGAAATCAGAGCCTGCATAAACTGATGACTGAGTGGATAGACAATCAGGCAATGAGTTGTTGGTCTCCGTTTCTCACACATACCACAAATTTAACATTAAATTCTCTTGGGGTCTCTTGGTTTGGAGTAAGGAAGCCAGATGAACATATCTTTGCCCTCCCTCAAAGACAAGAGAGGGGGAAACTTTCCTCTTTCCACAAATAATTTATTATCAAAACAGATGACCATCCCTCTTTCTCAGTCTTCCTCTCCTATCTCTTGACACTTCTTTTTCTCCCAGACATATGAGAGTCTCTTTGGCACCATTTCTGCTGTAACTCCTGCCCTATGAACTAAATTTTGGAAATAGGAAAAGCTTTCAACCAGTAATATATTATCCCGATATATATGCTACTTAAAATTCCTATACATTAAAAAGAGTATAGAATCTAGAACTGGAAGAAATTATTTCACATTACTTTACATTTTCAGACTGTTTACTGCTCTACAGGGTTACTGGGAGATGAATAACACAATGTAAAAGCTATGTAAATAGTTTTTATTCCTATTATTTCCATGATAATAAGGAAACTAGAAACAATATGTATTCTTTCTTAGTTTTCCTATTTGCTTTAATTAGTTGTACATGACAGTTAAATGCATTTATGCACTTTGATATATCATACATAGATGGGATATAATTTCTCATTTTTCTGAGTTTACATGTTTCAGAATCATATTGGTCATGCAGTCACATATATACATATAGTAATAATGTCTGTTTCATTATACTATCTTTCCTATCTCCACATCACCTCCCCACCCCTCCCATAACTTCCCTCTACCTAATCTGAGGTAACGCTATTCTTCCCTAGTGCCCCCTGCCTTATTATGAATTAGTATCTGCACATTAGAGAAAACATTCAGCCTTTGTTTTTGTGGGATTGGCTTATTTCGGTTAGCATGATATTCTCCAACTCCAGTCATTTACTGGCAAATACCATAATTTTATTCTTCTTTAAAGCTGAGTAATATTCCATTGAGTATATATACCACATTTTTTTAATCCATTCATCTATTGAGGGACACTTAGGTTGATTCCATAGACTAACTATTGTAAATTGAGCTACTATAAACATTGATGTGGCTGCATCACTATTATAGCATGCTGATTTTAACTCCTTTGGGTATAAACCAAGAACTGAGATAGCTGGATCAAATGGTAGTTCCATGTATTCTTTATCAGTGAAACTTTGTCATAGTGTTTGAGCAAGGTTTTTATCACATTGTGAAAGGTCTCCTAAACCAGGCACCAGCCTCTTGGCCTTGATGTTATTGGCATTTGGGGCTATGGCAATTATCCTAAGATTGTTTAACACCATCCCAGGCCTCTATCCCACAGATGCCAGTAGCACATCCACCACATTTGTGACAGTCTGAATTATTTCTAGACATTGCTAAATATCTGCTTTGGAACAAAACTGAGCCCAGTTTATCCAAAATGAGGTGTATTCAATTTCACAATTAAAAAGACTTTGGTAATTTCCATGTCATCTTTTTATAATTATTATTTTTTTCATTAAAGAAGTAACATGTATTTATTTTTTAAATGGGAGATGCATATAAACAAAGAAATTTAAAACAAAACACTAAATCCAAAGACAACCAACCCTTGATGGTACTCTTTCAACACCTTTTCTGTGTAGATAGATAGATAATGCAATCTTAAAATGGAAATAAATGGAAGGAATTTAAGCTTTTTCTTCATGTTTTTCTTTGTTTCAGTTATTTATAAATGAATATGATACAATTCCATTTGAAGCTATTTCTTATCTGACTGGAGAATGTAATTATGGAGGAAGAGTTACAGATGATTGGGACAGGCGCCTCCTATTAACCATACTGGCTGACTTTTATAATCCACACATAATTGAAATGCCTCATTATAAGTTTTCTCCCAGTGGGCATTATTTTGCACCTCCCAAAGGTACTTATGAGGACTACATTGAATTCATCAAGGTAACTGACACCATTGTAATACGGTTGGCTTTATGTATGATTTTTCTAAAAGGAAATGATGAAATGTTCCCTCTCTAATGTGTACATTTTAGACAAGTATTAATGATTTCAATCAACTATCAGTGTATTTGTTTTCTTACTGATTAGTGACATTGGAAAAGTTTGATTCTTCTATCATTTGATGTTCAGTTGGTTTTAAACTTTTTTTTGAATTGCACAAGTTTCCCTTATGAATTAATGTTTTATAGGAAAAAAAATACCCTCTTAGATTATTGGCTGGAGCCTCTGAATTTAATTGACAAAAGACAGATTAGCAGGAGAAAATGCATTAAATTTGTACTGTATTACAAGGGTTTTACAGAAAATAAGTGAAAACGAAAAGAAGCAGATTACATGGGAGTTTATATACCGTCTAAATAAAGGGTGATGAATTGTGAAGAATTGACTAAACAAAGGAAAGGTGGCATGGGCTTCTGTGGGTAATAACTTGTGAGAAAGTAATTAGGAAATATATGGCAAAATGGAAGATAAGAATTATCTTAGTACAATGTGTTTGTATACACTCATCCTCTAGTGCCAGCCTTCAGTCTCCTGTGTGATAAGATTGGCTCTCCTTATCCTCGTACAGGACAGTGGAGAATTTATGGCCTACTTTTAGGCAGAAGAGGGAAGGGAAGGGAACTCTTTTTGTATCTATTGATTTTTATATTAACTTCATCTATTTTTTATGTTAAATTGGCGTATTGGGGGTAGCATATCCTGATCCCCTTCAATATCCAATTAAAATGTGACACATGCTTAATCTATTTTGTGGTAGAAACTTCCATTTACTCAAGATCCTGAAATATTCGGATTACATGAAAATGTTGATATCTCCAAAGATCTTCAGCAAACAAAAATCCTTTTTGAGTCCTTGCTCCTCACTCAGGGAGGCTCAAAACAGACAGGATCCTCAGGAAGTACTGACCAAATTCTATTAGAAATTACGGAAGATATACTCAACAAGGTATTATCTAGCTTAAAATATATTGTTTATAAGATAATAAAAATGGTTATGATATAACAGTCTTAAAACTCCCATTTATCATCAGTATGACTTTGAGCAAGATACTTTACCTCTCTGAGCATTAGTTTCTAAGCCTGTTAAATGGTAAGAATAGTACATATTATTGTAAAAGGTTTATGAGCACATTAAAGAACATTAAAGTTATAGTTAAGGATGAGGAGTTTATTTTCATTTCTAAATAAAAGTGAATGATTTAACTTTTTTAAAATGGAGGGAATGTTCTGAACTTGATTTTTAACTATACATTAGGAATTGAGAAGGCACAGGGAGATACGATCAGTGCTAAGCTAGTTGCTATAACTTTTATTTTCATGATACAGCCCAACATACTTAACCCTACTAAGTAAAGTAGAATGATACTCTGTATTCTCACCTTTTTTCTGTGAGTTTTAATTTCAATAAAGAACTACTAAAGGAACTTTTAAAAGATTATGCTACTAAACAAAAATGTTCACAACTCCCCTCTAAGTACTATAAATATGTTCATATTTCAGCACCAGACGATCTGACAGAGCAGAATCTAGCTCTAGTCCACTTGCCTTCCCATGAAGGCAAGAGTACCAGTGCTCTCTTAGGTGAGCCTGTTCACCAGAAGCCTGGAGGTGGCCTCTTAGAGAAGGGAGAGGAGCAGCACTGCCTGCAGCCTTGGGAGAAAGCAAACTAGCACACCCTGGCCCCCCATCCCTGTATGGCTGCTTCTGCAGTTCACTTCTTCTCACACATGGCGTCTGCTGCTTCTCTGGTTTATCTTTGTGGTGAAAGGTTCTTGCCTTCATTGAATAGTGGCTCTAATGGGCTACCTGACAGAGGCACCTGGGGCTTATTTGAGGTAAAGGGTTGTTTGAGCAGAGCCAGAGGACCCTAGAATTTTGGAATTCTTTTGTACTCTCCAAGGACTATCACCTGGAGACCATCAGGCAAGTGCAATTCTTTTAGTTTAAGACTTCCCAGCTGGGAAACTTCTTTGCCCATTTAAGAGTATGAATTCCAGTGTCTTAAAGGGATTTCATCAGCAGTCCCAAAGTGTCTCTGAGGTGCCATGTAGAAATTACACATTAAGTGGCCTTCTCTCTCCCTATGCCCTGGGAACCTGCTACTTTTACAAAGTTAATTATTTGATGTGGGGTAAGCTAAGCTATTTGGAACCCAGTTGATAATCAATTAGAAATAAATCAGGCATAGTGGCACACACCTGTAATCCCTTTCTGGAGGCAGAGGCAGAAGGATTGCAAATTAAGGCCAGTTTATGAAACTTAATAAGACCCTGCCTCAACATTAAAAAAATAAAAAGGGCTGGGAATATAGCTCAGTGGTAAAGTACCTCTGGGTTCAATCCCCTATATCATAAGGAAAAAAAGAAAAAGAAATATAAAACAGCTATGAAATGTTAAATAAGTTTTATCAATGAAAAATAAGATTTAATTTACAAAGAGAAATTCCACAACTTTTCAGAATTATGTATTTTCTGCAAAGTGCTATAGTAGTTAAGAACATTGGTCTTGGATTCAGAGACCTATAGATTTAAACTTTTGGGCTGTGTGCTATTAGGCCAATAATTTGGCTTTTCTGAATTTAAATGTTCTCATCTATAAAATGAAAATAATAATATCACCAAAGGATTAAATGAGATAATTTTGGAAAGCAGCATAGTACCTTCCATATAGTAACACCCTAGTATTAGCTATTACTGATATTATAGCTGAGTGAAACCAATTATCCATTCTGAGTATTTGTGATCTTCAAAATCCATCTTGTAGCTTCCATTTGATTTTGATATTGAAACAGCACTAATGAAGTATCCTGTGAGATATGAAGAGAGCATGAATACTGTGTTAGTACAAGAAATGGAACGATTTAACAAGTAAGTATCTATATCTCCAGCAATTCAGAAGGCAAGCCACCAAAATTGATAAAAAGACATGCTGATATTGAATAAAAAAATTTAAGATTATCAAAACCTCCCATTTAAAATTTTGACCTTTTAAAATTTCATAACCTTTTGCTCCAGAAGATAGAGTATCTTTTATAATGTAAAAATAATGATGAAAAAGAAATATATTCTTACTGATTAAAAGTATTCATTAATTGTAACTTCTCATCCATTATTATTCTCCTCAGGAATTAAAGGGAGAATGAACATTAGTGAGGCCTATGTATAGGCATATCTTCTGTTGTTTTTCTACCACCTGACACACATTTACTGAGTGCAACCTAAATTGATTAAGTACTGCATGATAATAAACAAATTATTTGCTTTTCATTTTTTAATTGAATATTCTACTGGATTAAGGAATGGTGAATTGTTTTGGTTATACATTTTCTAAAATGTTTTCAAGTTTATTATAGTTTCTATACGTATTGACACTTTAAAGTAAAATATATTAAAATACTGTGTTACCCTATTTAATTAGTTATTTCTTATACAAAGGCTATAATTATTTATTTATAATAGCATGCTGTCCCCCAGTTGCTCGGACATCTATACTCACAAGTATGTTTACGGTTTTCTTACCTGTTTGGATTGAAGTGGGAAACAAAATATTTGCCAGGGTATAAATGAATATATAATTTGTTTTAATGTATTGTTTCCCTAGTTTCAGCTGTTATATAACATCTTTTTAACTTCTCCCATATTTGCATGTTACTTGTAGTATTATTTGCCCAATATTTTCCCTTAAATAATTCTCCTTCTAAATTAGCTGGGTTCTGCCAAAGTGGTCTATAGATTTATTGCAACCCTATCAAAAGTTCGTATCACATCCTATAGATATAGGAAAAAAATCTTAGGTGGGTGCAATGGTGCATGCCTATAATCCAGCATCTTAGGAGACCGAGGTAGAATGATCACAAGTTCAAAGCCATCTTAAGCAACTTAGCAAGACACTCAGCAACTTAGTAAGACCCTGTCTCAAAATAAAAAGGGTTAGTGTTGTGGCTCAGCGGTAGAGTGGTCACCTAGTATGTGTGAGGTGCTAGGTTTGATCCTCAGCACCACATATAAATAAATAAATAAATGTATTGTGTCCAACTACAACTAAAAAATAAATATTTTTAAAAGGGGGGGGCTGTGGTTAAGCACCCCTGGCACCAAAAAAATAAAATAAAATAAATTCATATGGAATCACAGAATACCCCAGATAACCAAAGCAATCATGAGCAAAAAGAACAAAACTGGAGGGCTGGGGTTGTGTCTCAGTGGTAGAACACTTGCCTAGCATGTGTGAGCACTGGCACTTGATTCTCAGCACTGTATATAAATAAATCAATAAAGATCCATCAACAATCAAAAAAAGAAAAAAAAGAACAAAGCTGGAGGCATCACACTACCTGATTTCAACTATATCACAAGGCAGTAGTAATGAGAACAGCATAATACTGGCATAAAAATAGACATAGTGATCAGAGGAACAGAATAAAGAATCCAGAAAATAACTAATATGTCTGTGGTCATTGGTTCTTTAAAAGCTGCCAATAATATACAGTGGATAATGAGAGTATCTTTAATAAATGGCATTGGGAAAAAACATACATATAAATCTATGTGCGTATATGTATATACATATGTATATACATACATGCATAAAAGATGAAATCGAACCTCACGTCACATATAAAAATCAACTCAAAGTAGATTAAAGACAAGACCTAAAACTGTAAAACTACTAGAAGAAAACATAGGAAAAACTACACAACATTGGTCTGGGCAATGATTTTTTAGAATTGGCCACACAATTGTGGGCAACAAAAGCAAAATAGACAAATAGAATTTCAAAATAAAGATTCTTCATTTTAAAAGAAACAACAGACACGAAAGTGCACACCTGTAATCCCAATAGGGGGAGGTGGAAGCAGGAGGATCACAAGTTCAAGGCCAGCTTCAACAACTTATCTCAAAATAAAATATGAAAAATGGCCTGGGGATGTGGTTCAGTGTTAAAAGTGCCCCTGGGTTCAATCCTTGGTACCAAAAAAAAAAAAAAGGAGACAAAAGATAACAAGTTCTGGGGAAGATGTGGTAAAAAGAGATCCCTGAAACATTGGTGGTGGGGATATAAATTAGTAAAACCATTATGGAAAACTATATGAAGTTTCCTCAAAAAACTAAAAATAGAATTACTATGTGTTCCAACTATCCTACTTCTGAGTGTTTATCCAAAGATTTGAAGTAAGCATGACAAAAAGACATCTGCACTCTCATGTTCATTGCAATACTACTGAGAGTGGCCAAGTTTTGGAATCAAACTAAGTGTCAATCAAGAAATGAATAGAAAAATTAAATAAATAAATAAATAAATAAATAAATAAAAAATTGTTTCTCTTTAAAAAAAAAAGAAATGAATAGATAAAAAGATGTGAGATTTTATATATATGTGTGTGTGTGTGTGTGTGTACATATATGTATGTGTACATATGTATGTACATATATGTATGTACACACATACATAGTGAAATACTATTCAGTCTTAAAAAAAGAAGAAATTTTGTCATTTGTGATGTAATTGGAGAATATTATGCTAATTAGTCAAACAGAAAGATACTGTATGTTCTAAATCATGTGTGGAATCTAAAACAACTGAATTTATAGAAAGAGTAGAATGATAGAAAGAGAGTAGAAAGATGCTGGGTGGTGAGAGAATAATGAGATGAGAGTCAAAGGGTATAAAACCTCAGAAATGAGTTTGATTTTTTTTTTTAAGATCAGTAGCACAGCATGCTGAATATAGCTAATATTGAATACCATATAATTTAATATCACTAAGAGTAAAGTTCCAATGTTCTCATCCCAGAAAATGCTAAAGATTTGAGGTGATAGATGTTAATTAGCTTAACATATTCTTTCTACATTCAGTTAAAAAAATCATAATACTATTTTGTACCCCACAGACCTATAAAACCATAATTTGTCAACAATCACATTTTTTAAATTAGCTAAGTCCTAAGGAATAATAGAAAGCAAAAATTTTGATATTCTAATAGTACCATTTTCTATATTTGAAAATGTGTGTAATGATTAAAATAAAAAATGTTCATCCAAATATTACCTAAAATTACCTCTCATAACCCCCAGTGGGAGGTAGCCACACTTTGGAAAACACTCCCACAAGGCAGTGACTGAGGTTCCTGCTATTTCTTCTTCTAGAAAGACTGTATGCTGATATTTATTATCATATATATATTTATGATAAAATTTCTTTCATTGTAGTTTAATTACAACTATACGTAACACTCTCTGGGACCTTAAAAAAGCTATTAAGGGTGTGGTTGTAATGGATTCTGCGCTAGAGGCACTTTCTGGCAGCTTGCTGGTTGGAAAAGTTCCTGAACTATGGGCCCAACGATCATACCCAAGTCTTAAGCCCCTAGGAAGTTACATCACAGATTTTCTAGCCCGACTGAAGTTTTTACAGGTAAAATATGGTTTTATTTATAAAAATGTGTGTATATGTATATGTATGTGTATTTGTGTATGATATATATATTTTTTTTGGTTGAATGGGAAGATGTTAGTAGTTGAGTACAGTCACTTTAAAGTCTCTGAGTTGAATAGAATGTGATTAGTATTTTTTTTATTGGTTGTTCAAAACATTACAAAGCTCTTGACATATCATATTTCATACATTAGATTCAAGTGGATTCTGAACTCCCATTTTTACCCCAAATACAGATTGCAGAATCACTTCGGTTACACATCCACATTTTTACATAATGCCATATTAGTAACTGTTGTATTCTGCTACCTTTCCTATCTTCTACTATCCCCCCTCCCCTCCCCTCCCATCTTCTCTCTCTACCCCATCTACTGTAATTCATTTCCCTCCTTGTTTATCTTCATGGCCATCTAACCAAAAATTTTTAAACAATAGTTTTGTAGTTGTAGATGGACAGCCTGCCTTTATTTTATTTTTTAATTCAGAGCTGAGGATCAAACCCAGTGCCTCACATGTGCTAGGCAAGTGCTCTGCTACTGAGCTACAGCCCCAGCCCCTAACCAGAATTTTAGAATACTGAAAAATATACACATTTCTAAGTACTGAGTAGAAAATTTAAATTTTGCTTTAGCCAAACCTAAGTCATGTGTGATATTTATATTTCTGAAGATTCTAAGTTTGTGGTTCTCTGAGACCACAGTTTAATATTATCTTATGATTTTAATACCTATGTAAGTTACAAAAATAAAAAGCCTAAGGCTTGGATTTATCCATAATTGTTCATTGCTTTAAAATCAATGCTTCTTGGGCTGGGGATATAGTTCATTTAGTAGAGTGCATGCCTTGCATACACAAGGCTCTGGGTTCAATCCCCAGCACCACCAAAAAATAAATAATAATAATAATGCTTCTTATCTCCTATCTCATTAAACTAGGGGAAAGATAAGTGCTTTGAATCTCCCCCATATACCCATATACCAAGATATTAAGAGCACAGGAAAACAGAAGGCAGGACACTGTTTTTCCTCCTCAACTCCCTTGCTTACCCCTAACCTATGGGTGATATTTATGCAAAAGTATAGGGTGGGGAGAATCCCTAAAATACTCATTTAGAAATTCACAAGTGTTATATGAGCTTTTAGTGTTGCAGTGCTGTTAGTCAACTTCTATTACTATAACAAAATACCTGAGTTAAATAACTTAAAAGAAGAAATTTTTTTTTCTTTTTTTTTTTATTGTTGGTCGTTCAAAACATTACATCTAACTTGATATATTTCACAGTTTGATTCAAAAGGGTTATGAACTCCCATTTTTACCCCGTATACAGATTGCTGAATCACATCAGTTACATCAATTACATTTCCATTGATT